CTCATGGTTTATTTCTTTGAAAGTCACATGATTTTGGCCAGGGCTGGAGTCAGTGTAGCTATAACAGGAGAAGCTTCATACCTCTCACAAATTTCAGGCTTACCCAAAGGAAAACATCCTCCAATTGGCTGCATTTCCTACTTTTTTGCCTCCGGGGGAAGAGAGCAGCCAATCAGGGCTGCTGCAGGAAGCAGGCCGAGCTCTCCCCCTGTCCCCTCAAGAGCAGAGAGGACTTTTTGGGTAGTGGACAGCGAAGGAAAGTAGCTGACACCATTCTTAGAATAAGGGAAAAGGGATCAAAACGAGCAAAGTGGCTCAGGGTGATCTTCCGGTTCCATCCTCCTCACCTCACCCCTCTCCATCCCTATCACACCAGATCTGGGAAAGGTGAAGGAGTGAAGAACCCCTGGAGCTGCCTCCTTGCCCCAGGTCTGGAAGATGAGAACATCAGGAACTGCAAGAAAAGAGATTAGACTGGAGGAACAGGCAGATGTGGGTGCTGAGGGGTGCATAATTAATAGTTGGGGTGTGGGAAAATGTGGAGATGAGGGGACCCAGTTAATTAATTCAAATTTTGGGATTTGGGGAGAAGCTGGAAGCTCCACACCATCAGGCAGCCACCAAGAGCTCCTGCAACAAGGGCCAGAATCACCTTACTCAATAAATTTGGGAGAGATGGCGACACTAATTGTCACACACACACTGGAGATGCGTAGAGGGAATTAGAAAAAAAAAGCACAAGACAGACCAAAAACCTCAGTATAGACTTTTTTTTTATAAATCTTAGAGTCAATCTACTGTAAAAATGATATGTTATCACTGACTTCTTTCTGTTATAACAAGCAATGCCATACTGGGTCAGACTAATGTTCCACCTAGCCCAGTAACCTGTCTCTGAAAGTGGCCAGCGCCAGCTGCTTCTGGCAGTTGGAGGTTTAGGGACACCTGGAGCATAGGGTTGCATCCCTGACCATCTTGGCCAATAGCCATTGATAGACATATCCTCCATGAACTTATCTAATATTTTTTAAACCCAATTAATACTTTTGGCCTTCACAACATCCCATGGCAATGAGTTCCACAGGTTGACTGAGAGTTGTAATCTTAGCAGGGCTACCAAGCACCACAAATAGGTCTCCTGTCGCCTGTTTGCACCTCAGATGGATTCTCACACGTCAAGCCAGGCTGTATGCAAGCATTAGGGTCTATCAGCAGTTAGTCACTCCTACCACTTGCTGAGAGTCACTGTGATGCCTGTTGACTAGGCAACAAGAAGCCTCAAATTCTTGCAGCCACCATGGAGCAAAAGCCAATGAGCAGAGCAGAGGGAACAGCAAGACAAAGAAGTAAGGAGAGAGCATACAGCCTGGGCATCCCCATCCCCTCAGATACAAACTGCTAGTAGCTTCCCTTCCCATCCTGGAGATAGGATTCATTCTTCCCCCTGCTTTTAGAGAGAGTGAGGCTATAAACTCCTGCCTCCACTCCCATATGATTCTAGTGCCCTAACGGTAGTGGCACCTTCCTGTTGCAACTCAGCCACTGCTGGGACAGAGGGAAAGGAATTCAGTGATGCTCTCTTATTCATAAGAAACAGCAAACATGGAGCTAAAAATATCTTGGCAGCTGTGTTTTATGGAGTATTTGTAAGTACAGAAGATACACAGTGTTTTTACAGAAATAAAATTTTCAAAATGACTTATTTTAGTCTCTATTCTCTAATGGTCACTAAAAAAAAAAAACCCTACAGCAGTTCACCAAGATCATGTTACTCATTCAAATGGTTATGCTGGGGAAAGGGATTTAGATGAATTGGCATAAACAGGGTTAATGAGTAGCAGAAGGAAGAGGTGTTGGCTCTGAAATTTGTCCTTGGAAATGGAACCTTAAAGTAGACAGTTAAAGTATAGTGAATCTGGTGAAGGTCATACTGTTTTGTTTTTAAAATGAAACAAATCCTAACCTAAAAAAAGTAAAAATCAAATAATATACCACAAATATTATTTCTATATTGCCTTCTATTACTGTGGCAGCTGGGCACTTTATTTACAGAGATTAAAATGCAGAACAAGAGCGAAACAAACTACTGATCAAATGCTAAACAAAATAAGTGATTTTAAAATTGTGCTAGACTCAAGTTGTGTCTGACTGTGACTAAAAGGAGCACATTCCAAAAAAATCAGGGGTGGATAACCAATATCTGAGAGATCCCTGCCAATAGACAGTGTATAAAAATAGGTTCTGAAAACAAGAGCTTTCCATCTGGTTTTAGCTGTTGGGATGAGTTATCTTCTGAGAAACGCTCTATCAATTAATAGAGTCCCACACTACTCCATCATGCATCTGACGAAGTGGGCATTCACCCACGAAAGCTTATGCACCAATACATCTGTTAGTCTTAAAGGTGCCACAGGACCCTCTGTTGCTTCTATCAATTAATAGAGTCCCACAGTACTCCGCACTTAAAGATAAACACTATCCCCTTAAATTGCACTTGAAAGCAAACAGGAAATCAATGAAGACTGGGGTACAGGCTGTGAATATTCAAAACAGGTCTGCACTACACAGATTGCTACTTGTGCAGATGACACTACACCGGGGACAAGTAGCATTCTGCTCTTCCAGGATCTTGCAGATGAGCTTCAGGGGTAGTCGTAAGCAAAGTGCATTGGGTTTTCAATCCTAGAGCTAACACAGGCAACATGGCTGATTTGAGGTTTTCACTTACAGACAGTTGCAGTGTCCTAGCCAGTCATACGGTTTCACTTCAAGCCACCACTACTCTCTGGGTATCCAGGAATAATTATGGAGCCAAGAGGCTGCGAACCATTTAGGCACAAATCTACTATACATCCTCAACAGATGTTACAGACACAGCCTTCACCCAACTCCTGTAAAAGCATCACTTGTGTTTCATCACAATTGAATCACCAGCAGTTTGTTTTCATCAACATCCCGATCTCTGCCAGACACTGGGTGAATAATGGGACTGTAGAATTTAGGCTCTATAAAAATAAGGCTTAGAATACCATCAGCATTTTGATGACACTGTCACCCACAATGTCTCAGTAACAAACAACAATATATGTGGGATCCACCTTCCTATTCACATCCCAGTAAAGCATGACCTAGTTCATCTCATTACTAGTACAATATGGAGCTTTTGTTTATTGAAACTTGTTCCCCTTTTGCCATGAAAGATTATATTTCACTTTAGACATCTAGGAAGTAGGAAAAAAGATAGGAAAGCCCTTTTTTCACTTTTCATGTTAGGAAAATTAAATATTCCGAATGTAATACTTTTAATAAATAAATAGAAGTTTCAGAAAAAGAGACAGCGGAAGTCCTGTGAAAAGCTGAAATACTGTACTTTGCACATATATTGTACTGTTCATTTAGGGATCTCTCTGACTTTTCTAACTGATTAGATACAATGTAAGTGATCCAATTCAGTATGTAGACGTATGGTGGGTCAGATGAGTTAAGAGCTGTGTTCCTGTCAGTGCTTGAAAAACAAATGTAGTTAACTTTCTGAACACCCCTGTGTGGCAGATACGCCTTGTGTTACGTCCATTTTATAAAGCAGTAAACTAAAGTAGAGAGAGAGGTTAAATTACTAGCCCAAATTCATAGCGAGTCAACTGCAGAGACAGAAAAAAGTCTAGGGTGCTAGTTCTCAGTTCTCCCCTCTAATAACTTAACTACCCTCCCTCTTTTCCTACTACAAAATACTTAAATAATTTATTTACTTTATATGTTAACAGTACTATTTTGACACAGAACATCATTTAACTAGCATTATTCTCTTACCTATGGGTAATTATTCAGAAATAGAAGGGGTTCAGGAGGGAGTGAAAAAGTTATGAGTCAAGGAGAACGTGAAAAGAGTGAGAATATGTAATTTAGAATCCAGACAAATACGAAGGGACACAACAGAAATAAACAAGATAATGAATCATATAGGAAAAGCAAATCCATTACTCCCATTTACCCTCTCTAGTAATACAAGAGCAGGTGGGCCTTCATTGAAACTGAAAGACAACACACTTAAACCCAATGCAAGACAGGCAATTAAACTGCAGAATTTATTGCCAGAATATAGCATAAAGGCCAAGAATTTAATCCTTTTTTAATCCTACTAAATCTTTTATGGGTAAGTTTTTCAAAAGTAACTAGTTGAATTAGGAACACAAATCCCATTGCCTTTCATTTAGGTGCTTTAGAAATAACCCACAATGTATGAGTCAGCCAGAGTTACACTGGATACAATAAACACATTTTAAAAAAATGTGGCTATGAACCCTCATGCTCAGGGCACAAGCCAACAACTAGCTGATATGGGCTAGGACGAAACATCCCCCTACAGGTAAACTATTCCGGAAACGTCCAACATTGGGTTTCTCATGCCTTCTGCTGAAGCATCTGGTACTGGGATCTGTTACACGCAGAATACCAAACTAGATGGACCAATGATCTGATTGGATATGGCTACTCCTATGTGTCTATGCAAAAAAGGTAACAAAACTAAACATGTTAATACTCCTACTTCTACTCTGAATGTAAAAACATAAGTGTGATGGTACCTAAAGAGAATCAGCAAATCAGATCAGAATCTGGCGGATTCAATACCCAAAACCTGTTCTAACCCAAAAAGAAGGAATCTCTAGTAATTCTGACATATTAGACCGTCTTGATCCCTCCACTAATTTAAACAGAGCTGCACCAGAGATATGTTTGGCCTAGTGTATCAGAAAACAATGCCATTTTTTTTCATAAGAAGTTTCAAAAGGTTATAATTTCTTCAGATGGCATCCACACCCAGAGAGTTTCAAATTACCTACCTACAGGTCATGGTAACTAGTTCCATGCTGGGAAAAAAATAATATGCTTTCAGCTTTTTAGAATAAGAAAATAACCATTATATTTTTATATTTCACAAACCCAACACTTGAAACATTACAACGATCCATTTCTGCAAGTCTTTCACCTTTTTGTTTTACCTGCTTCAGTGTACTTCAACCCCACTTTTTCTTTTCCATCATTGATTTCAGGTGGTGGCCAGACAGCCTGGAGTTTCCCTGGAGTTTTGTCATCTTGCTCCGAGGGATTCAGGTCAGGCTATTCAAAATATGAAAGAGAAGATTAAAATGTTGCAATATTAATCCATTCCAAAAATGGTAAATGCTGCGTTTAACTAAACTTGTGTATTTAAAGCAATGGTCGTCCATAACTGGAGCTCATTTGCATTATAAAATTAGAACCAGGATGATTATCAGTTCGATTCCAATCCATTATAATGAAATCCAGTCGGTGAGGATGAAGAAAGGAGGAAAAGAGTGTAACAACAACTGCTTTGGGGGTGGGGTGAGGGGAAACATCATAAAGCTTAGTAGCATGTTACATGCAGCAAATTAATTTAAATTTAGCAAAGTGGCTCTGAGAAGCTGCCTATTCTTTTGTGAACTGAGGAGGCTAATACTGTGTCAGGAATATTAATCTTTATTCTGTATCTATAGCTAAGTTGGAAGAGTGAAACATAGTTTTGTTGCAGGTGAATTATAGTAGTGCTCACTAGTGTCACTGCTACACATGAGAAACAAATGCCCTGCCAGCGTCTATATTTTCCTCACCACAGGAAATTTACTGTAAGTTGATATTGTGTCTACAAGGTCTCAGTCTACCCAGGGGAAGTTCTTAGAGGATTTTTTAAACACCACACACACACCCCACCACACACACACACAAATGGAAACTTTGAGTGCAGGGAAACAAACTCTAGGTTATCCAGCTTCAGATTTAGGACACAACCCCACAATCCTTACTCAGACAAGCAATCCTACTGTAGTCAATGGAAATAGTTTTAGGAATTAATTACATCTGCACACATGTATAATTGTTAAAGGATGTGTCCTTCTTCTGCTCATTTAACTCAAAGGGGCTTTTTATTTATTTATTTATTTATTTATTTGCATTTATGTTCAGGTCTTTACTATGAATTTATATTGGTTTATTCAGACTCTCAATGTGGGAGAGTTTTGTGGGGTTTTTATTGCCTTTTTTCACTTAAAAATACACATATCCAAAACACCATATTGACAGAGGCTCCAATCCCATAAACATACAGGAACATGCTTAACTTTAAACAGATAAATAGTTCCACTGATTTCACTGGGAAAACTATCCTATGTACAGCTGAACATGTGGAAGTATTTGTAAGATCAAGGTTTAGGTGTATAGACAATTGAAAGAGAGGATACCTTTTAAGGCCCCTCTCTTGGGCAAGTCACCCAGAAAATTGTATACAACTTATTGTCTGTTGCGTCATCTGTCATAATACAATTCTTTCTAAGAGGGTTTTAAAAAACAAAACAAAAATTACTTTTAGAAGGAAAAGCCATTAAAAATAAAGATAGTGTAGAGTTGAGGCTGACACTGATCTCTGATAACTCTCTTTAGGTTTTCTTGAAGTCTAGGTATATGATATGAAGTTTAATATTTACAATAAGAATAAAGAGTGAATTTCAGTCTTAATTCTCTATTAGGATAATTAAAGATATTTGCAGTAAATACTTGTAATTTAACTTTGGTTCGGAGAGCACCCACATTCAGTGAAAGGAAAGCAATTGATTTGCAGCCACATTTTTTAAATTAGACACTCAAGTTGGAGGCCTCAAATATTTTGGATTCCCAACTTGAGACATCTTTGGCCTTGTTTTCAAAGGTGTTCATCATCTGTAATTCTCACTGACTTCATTCAGAACTCAAGTTGTCCAGCTCTTGTGAAAAGATTAAAGGTGTCTCAAGTTGGGAAGCCAAAACTTAAGGCTCCCAAAATCAGAAGCCACGCTTGAAATTTTGACCTTAGTTATTTTAGTTTACACCAATCATTTTATCAGCAGAAATTATTTTATATCCATTTACCTCCAGCCCTTAGAATGTAAAAGTAACTCAAACCTACAGATTTCAGGTCAGATGCTCCATTCCCAGACTTTGATTTTGATCTTTCAAATACTGCTTTCAGCGACTCCTTTTCATTTCTCATTTTGCGTTTGATGGCTTCCAGCTCTGAAGTATCAACAGTTATCTCCTTTTTTGGAGGCCGGGTAAACAAAGCTTTAAACACATCTAATGCCGACTCCGGTGGGCTTGGTTTTGTTTCTTCAGCAGGGGACAGGGTCTCCGTTCTATCAGTGGCTTTGCTCTCCTGGCCTTCATCACTGGTCTCAGTCTCACTAGTCTCCTCACCTGAATCTTCGGCTTTATCTTCACTTTTAGGGACGAACAGCTGAGAGAGCTGTTCCAGGAAAGTAGGACTTGTTTTAGGCTCAGCTGATTTCTTTTTAGTGAGCACGTCTGATGTAATATTAGATTTCTTAACAGGCTGTTTTAATTTAAGCAGAGCCAAATCACTGTCCTTCAGTTTAATTTCTGTGATAGTCTCTCCATCCTCTGCAGCTAGACCTTTTTTTCGCACACGCAATCCACTAAAGAAAGCAGGTAGCTGAGAGGTCTTTTTACCTATGGCTGATCTTGGGGAGGATGTGTTATTAGAGCCATTTGCTGAAGATCCTTGTTCTTCTCCACTCATAGGCTCTTGAGGATTTTCCCCTAGAGAAGGTGGGCCAATGCAGTGCTCGTCTGTTAACATTTGGTCTTCTCTAGGTGAGCTACATTCCAGATCACCATTCAGCTCTGTTGGAAGCTGCTGAGAAATTGGTGAGGTGGACTCAGTTTCATCTCTCTCCACAGTGGCATTACTTTCACTGGACCCTTCTGATTCCAATTCTTCCTTAGCCTGGTTGTTATTCTCTAAAGACTCAGAAGACAAAGCCACAATATTTAACACAGATTTGTTTGTTTCGTCTCCATCACTGTCTAGATCTGTACTCTCATTGTCCGACGCTGTATCACTTGTTGTATAGGCCAAAGTACTTTGTACAAAAATGGCATCCTTGTCATCTCTGTCACATTCAGACAAAGGAGGCTGTACAGACTCTAAAGGAGGAAGAGATGGTTCATTCTGTTCAGCTAGCTCCATATTCAGGTCAGCCTGGCCGCCAGCCTCCGGGTCAGCCTGGCCGCCGGCCTCCGGGTCAGCCTGCTGTATTTTGGGAAGCACATGATGTACTTCTGGATCATCATGACCACCACCACCCTTGTCTTGGTTGACAGCTTCGGTATTTGTATCAGTATCAAAAGTTCGAAATGCCTTAAGTACTGCTTCTTTTTTCAAAGTTGCTGGTTCCAATTTAGTAGTAAATCCAAAAAATGCTTTCATAGAAAATGCCGTGAAGAAAGGCTGTCTGCGTTCAGTCTCTGTTGCATGCCCTAGATCTAAAAGCTCACTGCCGCCAGGTGAAGTGTTATTTGCTTCCATGTTGGGCAAACCACAATATAGCTTTTACTTTTGTTATTACTATTAGTTACCTTCTACACAATTGTTTATTACATCCGTTCAGTCTATTAACTTACAACAGGAAATGCAATGGGAGCTCTTCTTTTTGTATCATCAGGAAAACTGGTCTCCCCAAGGTCACACTATCCCTCCTTTCCTGTTTCTAGTGCTGTAGTATGGACTGAAAGCGACTGTCAAATTTTACAACTCCAGTCCAAGAGAAACAAGAAGGCTCTGCATCTTGACATACAGTATTCAAAGTTCTTGGCAGCTTCGTTACTTGTTCCTTTACACAAAAAGCTTTTTGTCAGGGAAAATCTGCCAGCACTGTAATCTCAGCTGAAAACTCGACCAATGATCACTGCCCCAATTCCTGCAATCCTACTGGTTACACAAAACTAAATTCCTACTTGTTAAAAGTGAAGAGCAACTGTATAAACGAAAAAGCCCGTTGAACAGAACGAATCGCATTAGTTTCCTACTTCCTTATGGGTTGTGAACGTCTGTCAGCTGAAAACTCCTGAAAGCTTCTTTCATGTAACCTTTTCCACTTTGTCTAAGACCTCCTTTAGTTAATCCAGCAACACAAAAACTCTGTAAAATTAAAAATCCAGACAAAGCAATACTTCAAAAATCTCTCCCAAAGAAACAAAAACAACCTTCTTTGATCTTCTGAACTGTTCTGAATTCTCAACTGACTACAGTAACCAGACGTAGTGCCCTTGAAACTGAATAAAAAAATACCAGGCTCTCTTCTTCCGCTTTGCTGCAGGTTTCATCTGGAATGCAGATTTCAGGCTCCAGGGCCAGTTTAAAAAAAAAAAAAACCACACCAAGAAGACTGGTTTCATATTACTACTGGTTTAACTCTCCACAGCTATTTCTGTGAACTATAAACAGGTACTTATCAACCATTCACCACGCCCAATGACAAAAAGCTATATGGATAGGCAGGGTAAACACTCAAAGCTCAGAAGTGAGCAATTAACTGTGTAGAGAACAGACCTGTTACTTTTTTATTATTTCAAAGTACGATACCTTCTGCAAAGACATTTCAGTTCAATAATTTCCTCTATATTGCCTACATAACTATATGTAAGGGGCTCTCTAAGGTAATTTCACTGTTTGGGAATGAAAGCTACAAGTTTGTAAACCTCAGCATTTCCAAGGGAAACATTTTTATTTGTAACATATAAATAAAGCTCATGCATACAATCTGCAAAAGTTCTCTCACATTAAGAGTAAGGTTTATTTTTATTCCCTTTTCAATTTAAGAAACTGCAAAAATTGCACATACACAAAAATTTCCTAATTTCCTTGTCTACTTCTTCCTGCATCATTAAGAGACTTGTTAAATGTGAGACCACCGATTCACTTATTATGGATGACACAGTGGTTAATGTGCTAATGTTTCTAATACAGTAGTCCATAACTCACCTAGTCATGAAGATTACAGCATGTTTGCTAATCATGAGGTTAATTTCCACCATTCATTTCTGTGATATTAGCTCCCTCTGAAGAAAACCATTTGCAGATAATATATCACTGGTATGCCAACATTTAGAAAAAATGTAACTAAAAAGGCTGGTTATTGAAATAGACAATGCCCACCTCTGTGTCCTGTGCACTGAGAAAATGCAGTATCAATTTATTATATTTAACTTCATGCCTAAATATTTCAAAAAATTAAGAAAGCATGAAAATAATTAGGGAAAAGTTAGTT